AGTGGTGTTTATAACTCAAAAACCGTGATGACTAGAAAAATTCTACGTGCACCATTGGATTCCACGTGAAAAAATCTATTAGAACCCGTTTTTACTTATTTACTAAGTTTCCGGATAGCCGAGATACAGGAGGTGTCTGAAAATCGTAAATTTCAAACACTCCCTGTATATCAAAAACGAAGATGGCGGTTTGCGCCATTGTAAGTTTCACAAAAAAGTAGCTCAGGTTCGCGAAAGCCGCAACTTTATATCTTTCATAATAATGGAGATAACCTGCAAACCCATCGAAATTTGGACACCCTGTACAATTTAATAACAAAATTTTTTCTCTGAAGCCGTTAAAGGTTAGTAGTAGATAAAAGCCGATTCTAGAACCTCCTCTCAGAACCTCAGGTCAAGGTCAAGGCCAAGGTCACGTTGAGTAACCATGACCATGACCTTAGGTTCTGGAAGGAGGTTCCAAAATCGGCTATTGCAAAGAGGGTCGTTGACCAGTAACCTTGACCTAAACATCAAGTCGAGTGATGGCTCTTCTCGGGTGCTCCCGGCGGAGTGGAGCATGACCGGGTTGGATTTACTTTGAGCTCACCTCAGGTCAAGATCACGTTGAGTGACCATGACATTGATCAGTAACCTTGACCTGAACAATGACCTTTACTTTGACCTCAACGGAGAACTTGAAGTCAACCTTAATTGTGACCGTGACGTCCCCACCTAAAATGATGTGCATAAATAGCAAGTCAGGTTCATAAAAGATTAGTTTCATTGAAATCATCCGACGTAGTGGTGACATAACAACGCAGAACAAGTAAGTCCATAAACACTTGTCTTACAGCAGAAGTATTAATGTTATATATACTTAGTGGGTTCCAGACAACAATATACAAAAGCACCGAAGAGAAGTCTCGAGGTTCAACAGGCGGTGTCCAAAAAAGCGAGCATAAGTCCAAAGGTGATAAAACCCTCGTTGACACCCGTGGCATCTGAAGAGGTGTTAAAACAAGAAAAGTTTAATACAGTTATAGAGTGTGGTAACAATATGCAAGCGGTCGCTGATGGAAAAGATTCGTTTGCAGACTTAAGCCCTTTTATTATGACGCAAAGTGTTAACGGTAATAATGAAGTAGTTTCGAGAATAGATAACATGGAGAGCTTAACCAACATGTCGGACAGTACAGTAAGAGCAAGTAGAGGTCCTCTATTTTCGGAAACAGTGTATGCACTAAATAAGAGCCGCACGAAATGTGTGGCAATAGGATTAAGTGCTGACTTACATTTTGAACCAGTGGTAAGGTTAATGGGAAAAGGTCAATGTTTAACATTAACGGAAAACGATTGGCACAACATTATTATGTATAAGTCAACAATCACAAACAGTTTTGCTAATCAGTCTCCGTCGCAGATAGTGTTGTGTGGTGTCAGTATATCGTGCGATTGGATGGAAAACGTTTGCAAGATTTTAAAGTTGGAGAGGGGTGGAGAATATGTATATATTGCATATGAATCGTTGCATGAGCTTTGGAACGTAGCAGATTTAGTAGCAACTCGACTGAAATTATTGAGAACTGTGAATTACAAAGCATATTATGATAGTGTTATAAACGCGTTAGCTGCAATGGNAAAATAAGTTTTATTTCTTAATTTCAATAAACACGGTTTCCAGGAATTTTTGAATTAGCATCTTTTTTGACATTTAGACTATGCGAAAATAGGGAGATTGCATATTTTGCTAAAATTTTATTCCAAAGGCCTTTACTGAGTGTATTTTGATAGTGTTTTAATTCTGTCTGATTCTGTCACAAAGTTTTAAAATGTTTGACTTCTTGGGACACAAAGGGTTAAGAATAGAATAAGTTATGTAAATGATATGTTACACCTGTACTTAAGCAGCGAATTTAGAAATAAGAGGTATTGTGAATACATTAATCAATAAGCTTCTGATAGAACTACATTTGCCAGGTTATAATTATTGCGGTCCGGGAACCAAATTGGTAAAGAGATTAGTTCGTGGAGATCAGGGAGTGAATAAATTAGACGACGCCTGTAAAAAGCATGATAATGCCTACGCAGCGACAAAGCCCCAAATGGGGGTGGTTAGCTGTTCTTGAGGGTAAGAGTGACCTCTGTGTGAAATTTGGTTACCCAAATCGTATTGGTTACAGAATTATTAATGTTTTTTTAAGTTTATGGCTGGGATTTATGGATAACTTCACACCAGTGAAGATTTTTTACCTATTGCAACAACTCCAGGTTGTGCTTGACTGACGATAATGCACGAAGCTGGATGATTGGTGCTGTACTCGACGTAATCCCTACCAGGACGTGCTGTACTAAAAATTTTAACATTCTTCTTGTAACCACAAAATATATTTTGACCGTCTGCTGAGAACGTTACGCTAATCGCTGCCTCCAGCTGATCCACATTATTGAAACCCCTATAGCTACACCTTAGCTCTCCGCTAAACGCGTCCCACAAATGAATCGGACCCTCATGACCACTAGATAACCAACTATACATAAAATTTAAAAAAATTTATTAATAAAATCTTATAAAAACATTTTACCAGCATGTGGCAGGGTTTCCGCTATTCATTCCTGGGTACCAACAATAATCGTAAATTAATCCACTTTCTGGGACGCTAACTGCAGGTACCAAAGGTTGTATCGGACGACTAGTAAGTAAAGTATCCCCGCTATAAAGATCTGTGGGGAGCTCCATAACGTGCATACCAGCACCTCGAACGACCGTTAATAAGCAAGTTCCATCTGGGGACCATTTGCAACCCCTCAAATAGTATTGGTCGTCGTAATTGGGCCATTGCGATCGCGCTAATTCGATGCTGGACGATTCGAAATTATACGAAGGATACGCGACGTATGTGCTTTGAACGACAGCTGCATTCATCTCGGCCGCCATCAGTTTGCGTTTTACACTTACCCCTTTTTAATTTCTTACCTAATTCCGGCGATTTAATCAGTTTTAAATTGATTTTGAATAATTAGGAGTGGTTAAATTGCGATTTTTTTTGTGTGATTTTTGACGGTTAACGGCTAGCGTAGCAATAGATGTGAAGTTGGTTTCGATAAGTATTTTTATTACCAACCAAAATCAAAAGAAAAATAAAACTACATTATTTATTAATTAATTATAATTTTATTAGAATTATTATTTTTATGTATTTATGTTTAACTAACTTTGAGCTTAGTTTCAATTTTTTTTATAATCAGATCCTTCATTGAATTTTCAATTTTGACATTTCTGTCAAACATGAATTTAAATGCAAACTTTAACTTTTCAATTATTTATGCAACAGTTTCACATCTGTCAGATACCATGTTTAACTGTAATTTTCACGTTTCAATATTAATTAACTTACAAAATTCATTTTCTTTAATTACCGTCAAATATGACGTTTTTAAAAATAAATACAAAGAAACTAAAAAAAATTTAGGTTGGTATTGCTTATAGATTTAAGGTTGGCAGTGACAACCGAATTGTTTAAAAAGACGTAATTGTTAATACTTAGCAAAAAGTGTTTATAAATCTACGTTTAAATTGTTAATATAATTGAAATGTGCAACAAAACGCATAATTTTTGCAAAATAGTAGGTGTACAAGCAGCGGAATTATCAGGTATTGTAAAATTCATTTTTAATTCAAACTTTAAGTTTTCAATACAGATTTCACATCTATCAGATACCATGTTTAACTGTAATTTTCACGTTTCAATATTAATTAACTTACAAAATTCATTTTCTTTAATTACCGTGAAATATAACGTTTTTAAAAAATAAATACAAAGAAACTAAAAAAAAATTAGGTTGGTATTGCTTATAGATTTAAGGTTGGCAGTGACAACCGAATTGTTTAAAAAGACGTAATTGTTAATACTTAGCAAAAAGTGTTTATAAATCTACGTTTAAATTGTTAATATAATTGAAATGTTGCAACAAAACGCATCATTTTTGCAAAATAGGTGTACAAGCAGCGGAATTATCAGGTATTGTAAAATTCATTTTAAATTCAAAACCTAACCTAAAAATTGGTTGATTTCAAATATTAAACATAACCTCAAAGAATTTGATCTTTTTTTACTTTGAGGTTAATGCAATGAATAAACCAAAAAAATATTTGATGCTAATTTATTCTCTTTTATAATCGAAACATGTTAAAATATACATTTCTTTTTCCAATTCATATATAAACTCATAGCAAACAAATAAAATTTAATAAAAAATCAAATTCGCACGAAAAATTATCTTATATCATCGGCAGAACGAAAAGAAAATTACACGCGCACTTTATTTATTAATATTTTTTAACAGGGGACTATTTTTGGTCTCTCCTCGTTTTATTCGGCCACTTTTCCCCTTTTTCCCACCGCTTACTCATAAATAATAACCATTAATAAAAGAAACTCCGGCGCTCAACATCAAATTAATTTAACAACAACTCATTCGAGGTATAAGTAAAAAGAAAATAAGTATTTTTTTGGGGTAGTAATAGGAGAAACCGCTTTTTTAATGTTTTCCTAATTGAAGGGATAATCATCATTCCCATTCTGTCGTCCCAGGTGGTTTTGACGTCAAATCGTATAAAACACGTGATATACCTGGTACTTGAAGCACCTCTACTACCATTCTTTGTATAACCTAAAAAAAATTTAAATGATTATATCATTATTTGTGATTATATATTGTAATTACATCAACAGGTAAATGTTTTCCGGGTATAGCTGGAACCCCCGTCATAAAATCTTGTGTACAAAACGGTCGTAACACTACAGAACGTTGACATGATGGTATCCGGAGAGCCTGATCCCTATCAAAATGAACGGGTAACATCACTACTGGCATTTGGCTTATTGACTCTAAATGACCCGAATTAATTAAGACCTAAAAATCAATTAATTTAAAGAAATTAATTTTTTATTAGTCCATTAAGTAACTTACTGAAGTAGCTACATCATCACATTGTCTTAGGGTGCTAATGACGTTATTCGTCAAGTACGTGGGCGTGAGATCCGGAATGATCTCTTTAACGAGTCCGCCGAATATATAGCAGACGCGATTTACATTTCTACAGATTCGCGGGATCAATCCCGCGAGAAAAACCATGTCCATCCAATCGGGATCTTTATCACTCGAAATCCCCACCACGTAACTGTACGAGCGGCAATCACCTTGAACGCCAACACTTCTAATCGGAAGTAACGTTGCAACTAATTTTTGTTTACTCGATATTCTTTTTAAGATTACTCTAAAAAGATTTAAAAAGAAAATTAATACAGGACGATCTCGATATTACGGAACTCGGATATAACGGACAAAATATTTAAATCATACGCACGGCTAAACAATGTACTAAAACAACTAACACTAAACCTAGAACTAAAATCATTTGGGTTTACCGAAACGTCTCTTAAGACAACTCAACCCGAATGTTTCTAGTTCTAGGTTAAGTGTTGGTTCCAGTGACAGCACTTGGTAGCGCTAGTTAGCATTAGATAGTGCTAGGTTGTATATTTGTATTGAACTAAAACTAGAACTAACACTAGACCTAGAACTAGAAACATTCGGGTTTAGCCGTCTTGAGAGACGTGCGGCTAAATCCGAATGCTTCTAGTTTTCGATCTAGTGCTAGTTTTGCTATAAGATTGTTACTAGAACTGACACTAGAGCTAGAACTAGAAACATTCGGGTTTAGCCATCTTGAGAGACGTTCAGCTAAACTCGAATGATTCTAATTTTAGGTTAAGTGTTGGTTCTAATGACAGTACTAGGTAGCGCTAGTTAGCATTAGATAGCGTCAGGTTGTATACTCAGCGAGACCAGTCATTAGACGTTTCTGGGGTTCAGGCCAAACAAAAAATTTGAGAATGCAGACTTAAGTATTATCAATTACGTTTTCTTCATCTAAAATATTTTCAGATTTCTAGCACTTCCGGTTATACCGGAAGTCGCCACCTACTTTATTTTTTTAAATGGAATACCCTGTATATTTTTACATATTTGGATTTGTCTGTTTTGAAGGTTTATAAATAACTTTACTTTTTGCAATTTGATTCGGCCGTTCTCGAGTTATTCGAATTTTTCTAGAAAAATCTGCTCCAGCGGACATTTGTTAAAAAAATCATAGAACACTCAATTTTTGAGATATCAATTTAGGATTTAGAACATGCTTAAACAACATGATGGAGTATGTTTTGGTGCCGAGACCGGCTGTCTAGATCGTTTGGTCACTTTACTATGACACGTTAACTTTTCGAAATTTGGAAGCACCATAACTTCATTTTTTTAAATGGCACCCCCCATATTTTATTACTTAATCATCTTCGGCGTCTCATTTTACATCTTTTATATTCCATATGTCCTATGCCTAACATTAATAGTTTGAGAAATAATTAGGGTTTTTTGAAAAATGCTCACATATCATATCGATATTAACCTAGTGTGCGATGGAAAACAAATGTTTAATGACTTATTGATAAACGTCAAAGTCTGATTTGCATTGTTTGATGCTTGTGAGTCTAAAACCAGTTAAAATGGATATTAATAACGTAAATAATGTTTATACAAATGAAGAAATCCATAATTTATTTTTTGTGCACGAAAAGTGCAACAAAGTTTTTAGTAGAACTAGCAGAATGTTTAATGAAAATTATCCACATTTATTTCCGATGATAAAAGGTAAATTTAGAAGAATAGAAGCAAATTTTTTGCATTTTGGACGAATTAATCACGTGTTACACTGAGCAAAAAATGTAGTAGATAATGCAACGGAAGAGGTGAATGTTGTTCTTAAAAAAAAACTAAAATTAGTTAAAAATTACCTATATAGTATTAGAAAATGTTTACAGAAGACTGCTGTTAATGACTAGAAAATGCTTGCTGAACACTAAATACTATTGGCACAAAAGTAAATATTGGTTGTAGAAGACAAATATGGTTGGCAGAATACTAATACTGCTTACAGAACACTAAATACTATTGGCAGAAGAGTCAAAATGCTTGCAGAAGATAAATATAGTTGGCAAAATACTAATACTGCTTGTAGAACAATAATACTATTGGCAGAAGATTAAAAACTCCTAGCAAAGTATTACCAATAGACTAGAAATTGGTTGCAGAATATTAATACTTCCTGCAGAAGACAAATACTACCTATACAATACTAGAAACTGCTTAAAGAGATAGACTACTGCTACCAATAGACTACAAATTGGTTGCGGAATACTAATATTGCTTGTAGAAGACTAAATATTACTGGTAGAAGACTAAAAACTCATTGCGGAAGATAAATACTACCTATACAATACTAAAAAATGCTTGCAGAAGATCGATATTGTCTATAAAATGTTAGTTATTGCTACCAATAGACTAGAAATTGATTGCAGAATACTAATTTTGTATGTAGAAGACTAAATATTGCTGGCATAAGGCTAAATACTGCTAGCAGAAGACTAAAAACTCCTTGCGGAAGAGAAATACTACCTATCCAATACTAAAAAATATTTGCAGAAGATAGATATTGTCTATAGAATGTTAGTTATTGCTACCAATAGACTAGAAATTGATTGCAGAATGCTAATATTACTTGTAGAAGACTAAATATTGCTGGCAGAAGACTAAAAAGTCCTTGCGGAAGACAAATACTACCTAACGATACTGAAAAATGCTTGCAGATGATAGATATTATCTACAGCAGATTAGTTATTGCTTCTAATAGACTAGAAATTGGTTGCAGAATACTAATTTTGTTTGTAGAAGACTAAATATTGCTGGCAGAAGACTAAATACTGCTGGCAGAAGACTAAAAAGTCCTTGCGGAAGACAAATACTACCTATACAATACTAAAAAATGTTTGCAGAAGATGGATATTGTCCATAGAATGTTAGTTATTGCTACTAATAGACTAGAATTATTATTAGTTAATTTTTATGAACAACACCTCAATTCGAGCTGCCAAAGAAGATCTGGGAATCATACTACGAACTTTGTCGCGTTTTTCATGCATAAAAAATAAATTAAGAATTTCTTGATTTGTATAAATATTACTTTCGTTATTGTTATCGATTTTAACTCGTTTCAGTACTAATATTAAGGGACATAACAGATAATTATTAGCTCACATGCATCAAGTGACGTAAATAAGTGAGTCTTTGACAAGAACTCATTGAGAAGGCTTGTTTTTCATGGCACACTAGGCTAAATATCCATATGATGTGTGCATTTTTCAAAAAACCCTAATTATCTCCCAAACTATTAATATTAGGTATGGGACATATGGGATATAAAAGATGTAGAATGAGACACCGAAGACGATTAAGAAATAAAATATGGGGGGTGCCATTTAAAAAAATGAAGTTATGGTACTTCCAAATTTTGAAAAGTTAACGTGCCATAGTAAAGTGATCAAACGTTCTAGACCGCAGTTCTCGGCACCAAAACATACTCCATCATGTTGCTTAAGCATGTTCTCAATCCTAAATTGATATCCCAAAAATTGAGTGTTTTCTGATTTTTTGAACAAATGTCTGCTGGAGCAGATTTTTCTAGAAAAATTCGAATAACTCGAGAACGACCGAATCAAATTGCAAAAAGTAAAGTTATTTATAAACCTTGAAAACAGACAAATCCAAATATGTAAAAATATACAGGGTGTTCCATTTAAAAAAATAAAGTTGGTGGCGACTTCCGGTATAACCGGAAGTGCAAGAAATCTGAAAATATTTTAGACGAAGAGATCGTAATTGATAATACTTAAGTTTGAATTCTCAAATTTTTATTTTCGCTAGAACCCCAGAAACGTTTAATGACCGGTCTCGCTGAGACACCCTGTATTTGTGTTGAACTAAAACTAGAACTAACACTAGACCTAGAACTAGAAACATTCTCTGAAGACGCACGGCTAAACCCGATACTTTCTAGTTCTAGTTTTACACTACCACTATCACTAGACCTAAAACTAGAATAATTCCGAATGTTTCCCAATGATTCTAGTTCTAGTGTTGGTTCTAGTTTTATTATTCAGTGCTAGGTTGTTAGAATTAGAATTAGAATGTTAGAATTAGAAACATTCTAGTTTAGCAGTGCGTCCTCAGACTTGATTCCTTAAGTTCTAAATTAGTAATTTTAATTTTATGACATTTTTTTCGTTTCTAAAATGGCCTAAGGAACACGATGGGCGCACAAAATTCAAATTTGGCAGTAGCAAAAAAAAATTACGTGCAAATTTCATTTTCGAATAAAACCGTATCCAAGGCATTTTAAGTACTAACAGACATCGAATATAAACAAAGAACCACGTGCTGCGCTAAATTTTATGCTCACACCAAGCTGATTGATGGGTGATAGTAGTGGCTTCCATAACTCGCAGCTGGCAAGCAGCCTAGTATGACCCGCGCTTAAGAGAAGTTCCAACTTGGCTGGTAACATCGCAATAATACATACTAATAAATATTACTCTTTGCTATATACAGGGTGGGGCGATTACGCATCAAGAATGAGGTTAAGAATACTTAAAATTGAATATTAACATGAATTCCATTATAATTGTACTTTGTAATTTTTTTAGCCATTGCCAAAATTGAATTCTTTGTTCGTGCCGTGTTCAGGATATCTTTATATATATTTTAGGAACAAAAAAAATTAAAATTGCAAATTTACAAGTTAAGGAACCAAGTATTTTTGTCGTTGTCAAAATTGAAATGTGTGTATTAGTCGTGTTACAAGCGACTTTTTTGCAATCGTGTAATTTTTTTGCTATTGCCAAATTTGAATTGTGTGTACTAAAAATGCTAGCACTCAATAATTATTAAAATTAGAACTAACAGTAGACCTAGAACTAGAGAGTTGTAGTGTTAGTTCCAGTTTTAGTTCAATACAAATATAAGATCCAGCGCCAATGCTAACTAGTGCTACCTAGCACTGTCACTAGAACTAACACTAGGCCTAGAAACATTTAGGTGATGTTTCTAGGTCTATTGTTAGTTCTAGTGTTATTTATTATTCAGCGCAATTTTTTTATTTTGTTTTGTTCCTAAGATGTTCAATATGACATAAGGAACACGATGAGTACACACAATTCAAATTTGGCAGAAGCAAAAAAAATTACAAGACCATAATGAGTTAATTTTAATTTTTGAAAATGTTTTGCTTCTGGAATATGTAAAATATCCTTTGTAACATTACTAATACACACATTTTAAGTTTGGCAGTTCACAACTGCCACTTGTTACACGTGTTATACCGAGGTTTTACTATGATTAAAATTTGAATTAAGTTCTAAATTACTTTTCATCTTCAGTGATGACTCCTTCAACCCTATTCAACAAAGCGTGTTTCTTTTGTAACATTTGATCGAACTCCACGATGATTTTAACCAAAACTTGGGTCTCAGAGAAATCCCTCTCCATGTAGGGTTCTTCGGCGCACAAAACTCTAATCGCTAAACCAGGTCCGGGAAATGGATGTCGCATCACCACATCCCTAGGTAGCCCCAAATCCTTCCCCAACACTCTCACCTCATCCTTATGAAAATCTTTTAACGGTTCCACGACTCTCCCTTCGCTTCTTAACTTTCGAATTAACTCCGAATCGTTGTGATGGGTCTTAATCGTATCGGCTTTATTAGAAACTAAACTTGACGCGGATTCGATTAAATCCGGCCTTAATGTACCTTGAGCCAAAAATACTTCTTCGGGTTTTATGTTCATTTCGGCCAAAAATTCGTCGGAAATTCTTACGAAAACATCGCCGATTATTTTTCGCTTTTCTTCGGGATCGGCCGTTTGGGATAAAATTTTCGTAAACCTAGTTCGTGGGTTAACTTCCGTTTTATCAATCGGAACGACGGTTGAGCCTCCAGAAAACGAGCAAGCCGCGTTAATCACTCTTAGATTTAACCCCAATTTTCTTAGACTTTGTTCCACTTTTAAACTCTCACTTTTTCGCATAAATCCGTTATCGATATGGACAGCAATTATTTGTTCCGGACGTAGGGCTTTATGAAGAAGTGCCGCGCACACGGTGCTATCCACTCCACCACTAACAAGTACTAAAACTTTATTAGAACCAACCGTATCTTTAATGTACTTGATACATTCGGCTTCGCGACCTTGCATTGTGTAGTTTCCGGTTAAACTGACCACGTCGAAAAGGAAATTTTTTAACATTTCTTTTCCGTTGGCGGTTAAATCGACTTCGGGGTGAAATTGTACGCCGTATAAACGAAGCTTTTCGTTGTAGATTCCGGCGCAAAACGATGTGCTTTGGGCTATCGAACGAAAATTTTCTGCGACTTTATCGATTGAATCGCCGTGTGTCAATAAGACTTGTTGCATTTTATCTAAACCTCTGGGGATTAAAAAAAATTATTAATAATTTTAATCAGATTAAAAGTTAAGATAATGTCGAACAAGCTGTAGCTTTGCCAAAAAACTTGATTATAAACAAAGTTGTTCGCTCGTTCAATTTTATGTTTTGATTTAGGAGGATTGTATCAATTATATTTATTAAAATCTAAAAATATAATCTTCTTATCCTCCGCATAACCTCAAATTTATTATTATTATTATTTTTTTTTTTTGAGTACTTACTTAAACAACAAACACTTTGGGTTTACTTCAATATTGTATTGTCCATCTTCTCGGGTATCTTTTCTAATTACGGTTCCCCCAAATTCTTTATTCATCATTTGCATTCCATAACAAATTCCTTTTTTAAATAAAAAAAATTATAATAATTAAGCTAGAATGATATAGAAAGTTTTACGGTTGTGAAGTTAGCCATAGATTTTAAAATCGAAAAATCACCAATTTCTGCAACTCGAAACGCAAATTAAAGTTCTTATTTGAGATTAGCACTCTTAGAATAACCCGTATACAAAAATTTACGGGGGGGTGTTTTCATTTAAGGAAGTAAAAAAATCCCAAAGTTGTGAACATCGCGTGCGCGCGTGTACTATTCGACCAAAATCGAAAAATGACTAATTTCTGCAACTCGAAACGCAAATTAAAATTCATATTTG